TACCGATATTTGTTCAGAGCTCACCCCTGTGATAGCCAAGTGCTGTAGTCTCTTGGCCTCACTATGGCAAAAATTTTGTTCTCTGGGCCAAGAGACCTGCCTGGGTGCAATGGAAAGCTGAAATTGTCACTGGCAGCATGTGGGTGAGGAACTAGTCATCCTGGAAGTAAGCAGTGCTAGTGTGGTGCTGCAGCAAACCACCTGCTCTCCTGCAGTGGATCAGCACCAAAACCAAAACAGGCAGTAAAGAAATAAGAACTCCTGTTCCCAGACTAAAAATAACACAGATGGGATTTTTGTCTGCTGTGATACTTCCTCCTGTTGCAGTTGGAGACATTTGATAACAGTATTACAAGAGGGAACATTATGGTAAAAATGGTCTGTGTGGAACGCTGTACAGTATGTAACTGAGTTATGAGGCAGTAATTTTATCATTAGCTTTTAGCATTAAAGTATACATAGTCCAAGCAGAATCTCAAAGCCATCTATTTTGGCTTTATTGCTACAGGAAAATATAGAGATCTATTTCTAAGCAAAAGGCTGAAGAGATACAATCCCATTACAAAAAAATTCCTGAGTTCTTGGCTTTATTTTAGGTGTCAGAATTGTGGAGCACAATCACATCCTACAGAATGGTTCAGTCCAGCAGAAACAGTTCTGGTTGACAAACAGGATGCCCTACCTTTCCTAATACTAGCTGTTGAACTCCAAGTGATGTTTGTCCAGGTAGGGCATGCAGTCTTTTCCTCCATTTCCATAATGTCCCAAGAAGTAGAGTGAAATCCTGTTTCATCAAACTAGATACAGTGTAAAAAAATCTGAAAAGCCAAGTGCACCTGACAAAAGAAAGCCAAGTGTCTGTGTTCTAAAGAAGTAAATGCCAAATACAAAGCGTGGGCAGTAACACTCCAAGCTACTAGTTAGTATAAAGTTGGTGGAATTCCTTCCACTAATATTTTGCCATGGGTTTGTACCAGCAATCTCAGTGTTGCATCTTGTGCCTGGGGTGTACAGATAGCAATCACGGGAAGAAAATAAGGAAGAAAGACCTTATATAGAGAAGCAGTTCTGTTCTGTGACTATGTCCAGTGAAGAGCTTTCCTGGGCTATGTTGCAGCAGATATTATAGAAAGTGACCATGGTAGTAACAATTCTCCTGTGTGTCATTACTGAGTTGCCAGCAGTTTTTCTTCCTGAGGTGTGAAGGATTCATGATATCTTTAGTTTTTGCAGTTCCCAGAAAAAGATGCCCTTCAGATAACAACTCTGAGAGGAGGTCAGACAGGTGAGAAAGCTTCTTCCCCAAGACCTTGCGTGTAGAGGCAGAAAAAAAAATCAATGTACTGACAATGTCTTTTCTCAGAGAATGTGAGCAAATTACCAAAAATATCCCTAACATCACAGCTTGTGAATCACTTTGGTGAGGTGTGGGGAAAAATGGCTTATTTTGACTTGTTATTTTCCCTTAACCTAGCTCCGAATCTCCTCCCAAAGTAGCTGACAGCCGATGCACAACAAGAGATGTGCAGACCTCTTGCTGAAATCCCATAACGTCAAGGAATTCTGTCCATGGAGGTTTCATCCTAGAGGCTTTCCATAGTTACAGCTGTGAATTGAGGCCATCACTGGACTTTGTGAACTGTATATTTTCTCTTGTAGTTTGCAGAGACGTTTGTTTCTCTTATTCTGATTCTCTGCATATGTGGAGACCAAAACAAGGGGAATGTGTGTGTGAGACTAGACCAGGTGGGTGTTAGTGGGGCTTATTGCATTAACAACCACTGCAGATATAAGGGGAAAAATGTGGAAGAATTGGGAGAGGAAGACTGAAACTGGCTGAGAGAAGTGGATCTAGAGATGGAGAGAACAGAAATGAAATTGGGACTTTGACAGCAAGTCAGCAGGGATAGGCTGGGGTTTGTTCAATTAAAAGATAAATAACTGGATGGGTTGAGGGATGCAGGCTGGGAATGAGAAGGCAATGAAAATGAGACAGAGATGAGGAGTCAGGAGTGGAGAAGAGGAGGGTCTCAGTCAGGGTTGTCTGTGGTGGGATGGAGCAGAAGGCCTCAGGCTCTGGAGAGGGACAAGCAGGAAGGCCTACACCTAGTCAAGAATGCTTCCTTTGAAGGCTTAAATGGAGCCTAAAATCCTAAGTTTTAAAGTTTCTCTGCTGTCAGTAGAAGTAAGTATCAGCCCTAGATTATAGAGACCTACGTTCAAGGTATTTAAATGTAGCATCTGCACGTGAGGTGGGAGTCTAAGCTCCCATCACAGTCAGAGAAGATTTTAGGGAAGGATTCAGCTGCCTAAATATCTGGACCTGCATACACTTTCGATGCCTTAGAAAATTCCTCAGGGTGCTTGCTCTAAGATATCCAAATGACTGTAGACACTTACTTTCAGGCAACTGTGTTCCACCTGCACTCAACTCAGTCCTTGGAGTCCAGAGAGATACTCAAATGCAGACCATGCAGACGATGGGAGACAGACTCACATAAATGCTTGCATACAGATAACTAAATGTAAATATCTATGTCTGCAGTCTGCACCTCAGTGCCAGTCTGAACGTTTATGAAACCTGCAGGCATGGTGTTTTTCTCAGCCTTCACTAACATTTGGCCACCAGAGTTGATGACGATGTCCTTTTGCTGTAAGCTGCTGTCCTAATTCAAGTGACAGAGAACAAGAGTTTGCAACTCCCCGGTGCATGGCATGGGGAGGGAAGGAGAGGATTATCTTGCTCCATGAGGAGCTCCTTTGTTCTGTTGGCTCTTTCAAATTCTAGAAAATCAAACAGACATATGTCCAAAGCCCAGGTGCCCTGCTAGGCAAGCTGTGCTGGGGAATGCCAGAATTAAAATGTTCTCCTTTGCTGCACAGCCTTGGTTCCTCCCCAGACCAGGTGCATCCTGTGGGGAAGAACAGAGTGCATCATGTGATTGAAAACAGCAGCAGGATGCAAGCACAAGGAACTGAATTCAGGGTGCACCAACAGCCTTCATTCCAGCATTGCCTTACAAGGCAATGGCTTGGATTTTCTGCTTTATTATTACTTTTCCCCTCTCTCCTGGTCCTATATGCCTTGTATGTTTAGAGTGTCCTCATGAAATGTAATTAGAAAATTGAATATGTGAAGCAAGTGATGCAATACTGATATATACTGTGCCAAAATCCATCTCCAGCTGACCCAGCTATAAACAGGTATTTGATCTTTCTGACTAAGGAGTCAAAGGCAGCATTGACAAAAGTACTCAGATGATTCAGTTGTTGGATGTAGCAGTTGCAGGGCCTTACTCTTGGAGGCCAGGATAGATGGTCTGGATCTTTGAATGTGCTAGGGTGGGCTGGTAGTAAGGTAAAACTGTTTTCTGAGCTGAAGGCAGACAGGTAAGTGCTAAAACAAAGCTATCTGCTTTCTGTTTCGTTCTAGTCTTTTTAGGTCTCCTAAGTGCTTATATAGAAGAGAAATCACTTCTGTGGAGGGATGTGACATGAAGATAATACTGACTGAACAGGCAAGTCTTAAGAAATGGAGGAAGACAAAAGCTATCTGTCAGTGAGGGAGTAAATCTCCTTTGGGGTCCACTTACATTCAGATTTTGTTTAATCATGGTGTTGCCTGGACTTGAAGAAATGCAAGAGCAAGATGAGGGGGACTGGGACACTCTTTTATACACTCCTTCACCTTACCCCATGTTTGTTAACAAAGTGTAGAGGTCCTCTCTCTTCCATTTTCTCCATGTATTGAAATGCCTTACAAGAAGTTCCAGATGGGCTTTCTTATCCAAGAGCTGGAAGATTTAGGCTCATCTATATAGAATATTTAGAGCCCAGGTAAGCTTTCTGAGTGTGATTGTCATGTCTGCCTTGGGACACCTTGGACCTAAAGAGAGACTCTCTTCATGTCTGGTGAAGTGACCGTGCTTATTCTCCCTGGGTTTTATGGTGTGGTTACAGGACAGGAAACAAGCAGTTCCTCTTATTGGGATCCTTAGTCTTGTCACAGTCAAAAAGAATGAGTCACTTACGAAAGAAGTAGCTGTGTTGTTGTTTGAGTACATTTTGAAGTTTGTGTTTTCTGTTCTGTGGCTTCTGAGCCTTTCCACTGCACGTGGATTATCTCTTCACACTCATTTTACCATGAGAGAAAGACGCTCATGTTTCTTACAAAAGAAAGCTGTCATTCCCACTCAACTCAGGACAAGAGACAACAGGCACAAATTAAACCAGATGGAATTCCACCTGAATGCAAGGAGACAGTTTTTCACTGTGAGGGTGGTCAAACATGGGATCAAGTTGCCCAGAGATGTTGCAGAGTCTCCCATCCGTAGAAATATTCAAAAGCTGTCTGGACATGGTCCTGGGCAACCTGCTCTAGCTGACCCTGCTTGTGCAGGGGTGTTGGACAGGAGAATCTCAAGCCTCACCTGTTTTGTGATTCTGTGATTCAGGAGTTGCAGATTCCAGAAAATGGCAAATGCCCCTTGAGTCTTGCAGCACAACCCTCTCATTCCGCTTGCTTGGAAGCAGCGTGCCACTGCTTAGAGGGCTGAGTGAGGTGGCATTTTCTCCAGTTGCAGCCTACTGGTATGGTCTTCACATAATTTATTCTGTCAGGCCAGATACTCTCCTTCCCCTTTCTCTGTGTCCTGTGAACACCTGGAAAACATCATACCTGAGGTGCTGGTGTGCTATTTTCTAATCTGCTCCACTTCTGGAGAAGCATCACCTCTTTGCAGCTCCCTCTCCACCTCGCTGATAACTGCTGTTACATGGCAGTGTAACTTGTTTTCCTGACAGAGAAAGATTTGTTCACAAAATCTAGCCTGCAGCCTCTTACAACAACAAATAGCCGTGATACTACTGGTCAGTTACTTTTCTTCCCACTACTTGGATGTGCCATGGCATTCAAGCAGACCTGCAGTACCTGTAGAACAGTATAAAAGTAGGTACAGTACATGTAGGGCCTGGATGCTTTAAAGATGGACAACAGACAGTTTAGAATTCATGCAGAAAAATGTTTTATTGTAGTGAAGTTACACAGGAGAAAAACAAAAGTCTCCCTACTCCTGGTTCAGCGCTATGCTGAGCCATAAAAGGGGAGGTAAGTGCTAACCAAAACAAGTTCCTACATGTAAAACACATTGCACTTCCAGTCATTTTTACAACATTATAAGGATACCACCTGGTATTTTCTTTTTTATCCTTTCTTTTTTTTCTTTTTTTTTTTTTTTTTTTTTTTTTTCTAATGAGCTGCAGCTTTAACTGTTTAAAGCTGAAATTCACAATGTTTCCTTACAGGAGTTTTTGTTGTTTGGATTTTTTTTCCCTGAAAATGCTCTTTCTGCTTAGCCTGTCCAGTTTATTTAGAATAAAAGCCTCAAGCCACATGAGGTTTACTTGATACATTCCCATAATGACCTTGTAGGGCTTCGGTGGCTCTAAACCCAGGCTCGGTACACAACACTAATGCTGTTAGTGGTCAGATCATTCTCATCACCAGCAAGCAGGAAGAGGGGGTGGCAGCAAGTGCAGGGGGTTTATGGAGGAGTGCTGAAGTAACCTTGATGACAGAACAGTTCTTCTCCAGTTAGGGCAACGGCCAGCCCACTTCTTAATGCAGAAAAGCAGCAAAGCATTGCTTCAGCCTGGCACACACCTGTGACAGATGGCATGGAGTCTGTGACCATACAGAAAAGAAAAGGAAGGAAAGGGACAGGTTTTGGACCTGCCAACCTCTTAATTGTCCTTTCAGGGATACAAATACAACACTGTTTATCAACGACTAACTAGTTTTCCCACAACAGGTTATGTACAGCATATTCACTTACATTTTTACATAATAATACACAGGTCTTCCCCACCACCACCTCTTGTGGTGAAAGAATGTGACATGTCAAGCTGACAGACACTTCAGAAGAGCCTCAGGATAAAAAAATGTTCATGCAGAGCTAGCTTATTCTTGGTGTCTCAAAAGTAAAATCTTACAAAGGATGAGCAAGATGTCTATTTTTACAGTATTCACTTTGTACAGTGCGAAGAGGAGTGATAGGCTTTTTAAACATAGGATTCCTTAGCATACTGGATCTGGTCTACCTCAAAAACTGGCTGGCTGCACCTCCGAGCCACGTACTCAAGTTTGTTCTTTTGGCAGGATTCAGACATGGCTCTCAATCGGTAGACTCCTGGGGTCACAGGTAAACTCACACGGGAGTTTATTCCCACAGTGACACTGAGGATTTCACTTTCCACATCAGAATCCTTTAATGCAGAAACTCTGCCACTGGGTAGATCCCTTAGAGCTGTATATGCTATGTCCTCTGCACAGCTGCTGCATGGGTGAGGCAGCAAAGCATCCTGGTTTGACATCTTTAATCTCATAGTTTGAACTGTGAGACTGTGGGAGGGAAGTTTCGTGGCCAGGCAGTTTTTAGTAGCCTCTTCATAAGAAGGTGGTCTTCCAGGATTCCTCTGGTCTACCTCTCTGAACACTTCATCAGCTGACCTGAAACGAGGCCTTTGCTGATACGCCACAGGCAATGGTTTGGCATCATCAGGGCTGTTCTCTTGGACAACTCTGCAGCAGAACTGATCTTCTTTCTTTGTGGAACTGTCTCTCTGAAAACTCATGGGTTTTCCAGGCCCCCAACTCTGGGTTTTTAGTAGTGTTTTCCTGCGGTTTGCAAAAGAGAATGACAAGGAATGCTTTTTGATCTCTCTACCAGGTGTGCTGCAGTCTTCAGTGGCCTTGGTGGAAAAGATTTTTTTGGGACTAGAGGGTGAAACTACTGGGGAGCTGGTGAAGACTGAGCCATCGGAGCTCTCCAGGGAGCAACTAGAGGATGTTTTGGGTAGAGAGTCAGTTGATAATTGTGAAGGTAAGAGTGAAAGCTGTTTCTGCAGTGCCTCCAACCCCGGCTGTTTCTGCTGAACAGGAAAATTGTCCTCACTTTTGTTTAGCTTCTGTTTCCTTATCCTGCCTTCAAGGCGGTTCTGGAAGGACAGATCTGGCTCTGAGTACCTCCTGTCCATCGTGCTGATGTCATTTCTGAAATTAGTCAATGAAGAGGCAGAGATGCATGTTGGATATCTTCTGCTCACACTAGTGCTCCTCCCTTTGGGCTGCTCCATCTGAGAGGTATGGGGGCTGCCTTCAGCTTCAGGATCTGCACTGTCATAGGCAGAGTCAGTCTGATGAGCAGCACATAGGTGTTCTGTGGGGAGAAAGTAACCATTAACCATCTGGAAAGAGCTCCTGTAGAAGAGCACCGCAACAGTCTCTTGAGCCCTCTACAACTCTCTGTGTTTCCACAGATGTATTCCCATATCAAATTAAAGAACTTAGTCCAACAGCCCCAGTCTGTGACATCCCCACTCTGTTCTCATACCTGTGGAGCTGTCTGTGTGCTCCAGTGACTCCTCAGCCAAGGCACGGACAGGCAAGGCAGTGTCCTCCCCAAATATTTCTGAGCAGTTGTTTATGAGGAACTCAACCAACACTGTCACCTGCACACAGGAAACAGTTTATTTCAGTCAAAAGGGCTGAAAACATACTGAACAGTCTTTCCTGCCCCTGCCTGCTGTCTCGGCATGAAGGGCAGCACAGAGCAGGGTGGCTTCTGCCAAAATCCTAGCTTAAAGTCAGAGGGTGAGTCCACCCTGGAGGACCCATGGGTGGCAATGCCCACCGGGTGCCACTTGCCCTCTGCGCGCAAAGTGCTCAGGGGCTGCGCGACATCGTGGGGGGCTGCAGCAGGGCAACAGCTACTTTGGCTCAGAGGAGGCGAGACGAGGGGCAGCCTTGCCCACCACATGGCAGGCACCCGAGCCGCGGGGCACCTCCGAGATGCAGGGGGGCTCTTGTGTTCAGCTTTTGCAATGGCAGTGGGATCCCTATGGATGGCTCTGAGCTGCTCCAATGGGGGTGGCTGCCCGGGGAGTTCAACGCACCTTGTCATTCATCTCCTTCTGCACTTCCAGGGGGAGCGTGCTGTCCGCCTCTGGGCTCAGCATATTTGGGCCGACGCAGATGGCCAGGTTGCTGGAGTCCATCCTGTTGGCCTCGGCATTTTGGCTGATGTGGCGGAGCAGAGACAGCAGGTGCTTGAGCAAGACGAGGTTTGGTCTAGGCAGTTTGTCAGCCACCCTGCATGAACACAAACGAAATGTGATGTTAATTCACAGTGCAGCAGCCGCTACTTCTAGATTTGAGCATGTCTCAATTAAACTCAGACAGATGACACTTCCTCCACAAAGAGGCACGCGTGTGCTTTTTTCACCGCTTAGCAGAAGTATCATTCAGAAATCCCCAACGGCAGCTGAGTGTGTGGTTAATTATGAGATCGTCAGTGATGAGATCCTGACTGAAAGGCGAGAATGACAGCAGTCCATGTCCTTGAGTAGATGGGATGACATCAGGAGATGTCACTGGAGGCTTCCCAAAGGCACGTGAAAGCCTGCGGTTGTGCGGTGCAGCTTTCAACACACTCCCAGTCAGCCTCTGCATCTGCTCCTTCTAAGGAGCCAAACACGGCAGCGGTCTCCACGTGCCCGCCTCCACCGCCAGCAGATGTGAAGGCTCCCTGCCCCTGCCTGTCCCACAGCACCGTGACTGCGTTAGCTGGGACACTGCAGCCTCTCCCTCCTTCCTACGCTAGCCATTTTGTAGTGCAGTCTCAAATAACTTCAGAAGTGCTGCTGCTAGAGCCCTCTAAACCAAATCCCATGAGGCAATAGGAAACTGATATAACTGACAAACTTTTAAATGAGACTCTCAGTTTTGAGAGACATCATTGGCCTCTACCAGCCACGCTATCATATTGGGGCTGGTTACAAAACTTGCTGGTTGCAAAACTTACTCTTTCAATTCTTCAATTTTTTCCTGCTTGCTTGGCTTCTCCAGAGCTTGCATCCACTGCTCATAGAGGTCGGCCGACAGGAGTTTGGAGGGAATATTTCGTAGGAAGTCCTGCAAGGCCAAGAGTATTTGATGAGGCTTTGGACAAAACCCTGAGCACAGAGGGAGCATCACTGTAACATCGGCTCACTAGGAGGCTGGTTGGCTTGAGTTACCTGACCATCAGCACTAGCAGAGCAGTGCAATGCACAGGTACATGCCAAGTACACTTGCACTGGTGTAGGAATGGGACCCAGCTCTAAGCTGCTTTTCATTCACCCATAAATCTCAGTATCCCTCCCTGGGAGGATGCCGAAGAGGTGGAGAACAAAGTGAGTTTCCTGTTGGCATGCAGGAAACCAGCAGCACAACAAGTGGGACTGAAAATCAGGTGCAAAAGGAAAATTCCAAACTTTCCTAAGCCTGAAACATTTAGTCTGGCTTTCCTCTGGCTTTGGCTTGGAGTCCCACCTAGATCAGCTCTGGGCACTGAATTGGGCTTGTGCAGATTAGCAATGTCCTCTCACTGCTGCAGGTCAAAGGGGCTCACCTTCAAGACCACTGCCAGCAGGTGCACAGATTTGCTTTTCAAATCAACATTCCCGCCTTTGTTTAAGTCCTCCTTCAACTCCTTTCGTGCTTTCTCATTGGCAGCTTTTCTGAATATCCCTTCAGTAGAAGGTCCTTTCCTGTACAATATAGCTAGGAGTTCCTGCAGGGAAAAAAAACAGACAGGAATGGGTGAACAGTCACTTGGGTGAACAAAGGTCCTTTAGCAAGTGAACATTTCTTTAGAAGCAGAAGAAGAATTTTCTGGAGGTACACTGTGCTCTGATTCAGTCAATATCTGGTTCTTTCCTCAAGTAGATTACATGGGCAATAACCTGGTTTTCCACCAACCTACCCTCTTTTTGGACTCACGAATTCCACTAATTTCAGTGGAGTCATCCCTTCTTCCTTCCAGAAGGAAACGAGGGATGGCTTAAGTCTTAGTTCAAATCCCTTCCCTCCCAAGCCAGGCAACTATTGCTTTGAAGAGGCAAAAACCTGTCTATTGGAAAATCCAACTCAGTGGGAGAACTGTCACAAGACCATTTTTATCCAGAAGATAGCGTTTAGGTATTTGTCAGTGGCATTTCATAGCTGAACACTTTTCTCAGGGAACTACAGAAATCCTTGGAAGTTTGTGCTGCTGAAAGATTCATTTAAATGACTGCTGTGGAATCACAAGTGTTTATACTAAGGAGCAGAAATTCTCCTACTCTTCCTGGTCCTGGGTTGTCTCCATTCAAGGTTACTTCCAGTGAAGGTTGGGTGGGCTGGACAAAACCTGCAGACCTGACCCTTTCTACATCTAGGATGGGCCCTGAGCTTATCAGAAGTGTGTGTGGAGGGGAAACACCAAAATCACTCATCTCCTGAGTGCTGCAGCACAAGTACTGGGGATCCTGCCTCACACTGTAAGCCAGAGGTATGAAAACTGTATCACTAGGCTTGCTTACCTCGACTGGCTGGGGCAGTGTGTCATCTTCCCCACAGATAATTGCCAGAGGCTGGCCAAACAGAGCAATTTTGGTACCCGAGTCTAGCTGCCCTGGGGAATTCCCATTGGTGGAGCTTCGTCTCAGAGTAAATGACTGTGATATCACCTTCTTTCTTTTCTTTGTTCCATCTGCTGCAAACAAAAGGAAAGCAAAAAATATCTTTTTTCAAAAAAACAGTGCTATATGACATTTCATCTGTGTCAGTGCAGAGATGTATGTTGAAACAGCTGAAACTAAACAGGGAGAAACTGAAAGACAACTAAGTGGTTACTAAGGAAACAACCAACTAAACTGTAAAACTGTGGCCATCCCTCTAAGGACACCACCTTTCCTGTTTTGGGTTTGTTTTTTCTTACATTCTAGTGACTGCTTCTTCTTAGAGAGTGGGAACATATAAAACATAGAAATAACAGCATTTATAGAGATTTTTGATATTGCAGCGGTTTCTGTGATAGCTATCTAAGGCAGATGTATCACTTAGGCAGTGGGCAATGACAACAGTTTTCACTACATGATCTGACTGTGCCCCAGCCTGAGGACAAGAGTGGAACTAGGGGCTCCTGCTTTTCAGCCTCTTTCACAGGCTCAAATGAAAACACACTGCTCCAGCCCTGCCAGATTTGGAACCAGCTCTAAGGGTAGTGGTCCTGCTAGAGCTAGTGCTTGCCCCCTGCTAGCCAGCCAATGGAAGGTGATACTTGCTTCAGAGGATGGGAGCATCACCCTGGCTTCAGGGTCAGAAATCTCAGCATGGGTTTTGCATCTGCATCTCGAAGAGGAGGGCATGCTAGGAATTTGGAGATAATGGTTGCTTTGGGATGACGTGTGGCTTTTTTTCCCTTCCAGAAACAGTGAGAGAAGGATCTTTTTGCTAGAAAGCTTTCTAAAGGAGTTGCCTTCTACAAATTTCCTATATAGGACTTGTCTTCTACTCCAAAATTAAGTTGTCTTATATGGGTGAAAAGTTCTCAAGACCTGTACTTGTGGCTTAGCACATGTCCTTAGTAGGGAGGGGTTAAAAGCTATGAGAAAGTCACCTAACATTATAGTGTCATATAAAATGTCTGCTTCTCATACTCCTGAAAAATGGTCTGATATGATGGTCTGTTCCAGATCTGACCCTGAACTGCTAATGGTCTCCTCCGCGTTGTTTACAGGTGCCGATGTTTTGTTTGGCAAGCAAAAACAAGTGCTGTTGCTGCTGTCAAGAGGGTTTATTTGCTGTGGCGTGCAACCGCTGGTAGCGGTACTCGCTACTCGCTTGCAGTGCCACACCTCAGTGGTGATGCTCCAGTGAGAAAGGACCACATTTAATTCCCATCGCTGCCAGGGAAGACAAAGAAGCATAGCTCTGAGAACAAGGAAACAGGGATACAAGACCTCTGGCACTCAGCACTGTCACCTCTGCCCTGAGCGTAAGGGAAAAAAGTCATTTGCAAGTGAGTAGTACTCCAGGGCTTAAGATGTCTCCTGGGTGGGGCAGAGGGCTGTGGATTGCTCTCAGGGTGGTGAAGCGGGCAGTTTCGGGTGGTTTTGCAGAAGCGCCAGCTTGTAAGCATTATATAAGAAATCATTTCCACAGTTAGTTTGTTTTTAAAACTCACCAGTTGAGTGGCAAAGTCCATCTTCAGTATCTGCTGGGACCAGCGGGGAGCATTTCTTGGCATCAACCTGCAAGAAGCATGTTAGGGTTACAGAGCTGCCATCAACTGCGAGGGCCACCAGCAGCAAGGGCCACCAGCGAGTCACTGCAGCTCCTCAGAAATCTGTGGGAGGCTCCACTGAACAACCAGAGCAAGCCCAACACCTGCTGAAGAGGTGCCTCAGTCCAGCAGTGACACTGCCTCACTGCCCAATAGAGGGGTTTGCAGTAAACCCTCCAGCCAGCCACCCCAGACCTGCCCACAATCTATGTCAGGCTGTTCTTTTGACCCAGAGAAGCCAGAGACAGGCACAGCCTACTCTTCTGTGTCTTCCCCTGGCACTGGAGATTTCCTCCCAAACTCCTCCATGGAGCCTTGATGGCTTCAGAGCTTGCCAGATTCCTGAGCAAAGCTGCCCAGGAGCCCGGGGAATGCGCTGGCTGCACACAGCGATGCCCAGCTCCTTCTGCACAGAACTGCCTCCAAAGGGCTCTGCCCATTCGTGGGTAATGGTAGGCAGCCAGCAGCTCCTACAGCGGCCACCCCCACTTTGCTGAGATATCCCACACCAGTACCCGAGAAGGATCGGAGAAAATGTAGCAGCTGCTCACCTCTGACTGGCACTCAATCAGACTCTTCATGTTCCCAGCATTTAGCGTCTTTGACTAGGCAAGAAAACAAAGACACTATGTGAGTAATTGAATGCTATGGTTTAGAAATCAGAGCTTTTCAAAATCACTCTGTTGACAGAGTTGAAACAATAAGGACACTCACAGTATTACAGCTGCTTAACACTTTCATTAAGAGTTTGATTGGGGGAGCTCTGGACACTCTTCTTTCCTTCGGTCCTTTTGTTTGCCTGTTTATTGAATGGGGAATGGACAAAGAAAGAGGTTTGTAAAACTGCACCTTTCTTGCCTTTCTCCCCTTCAAGCCAGTCTAACATTTAAGTATGATTCTGAACCAGCAAGATATCCCACACGAGTCAATCATAAAGTCCTTCTCTGGAAGGCACTCAGCCCTGCTTCCCTGTCTGCCTCTTGATTAAAACAGAAAAAAAAAAGCAGCTTTCCAGTTTTAATCTATGAGAAAAATGAGCAAGTGGTGAAAGCTATGTATGGTTGTTAATCTGCAAACACAAGGCTAAGGAAGACAGTCAGCTCTGCCCACGAGCTACACTTAGCAGTGGGCGCACCTCTCCCCTGTCTATATTTTTGTACATCTCTGTACAGCTGCTTCTGGAGCACTCCACTAGCTTCAACCCCAACACCACAGATTTTATCCCAGGCAGTACTTACCCAAGGAGTGAGTCCAGACAGAGCTCCTTCACCTCCCGCGAACTACAGAGGAAAGGAGAAACAGCATCACTCCCTACTGCTACTAATCCTTTGGACAGAGGCAGGCAACTAAACAGTTCTACCCCACGCGTGCTGCCTTATATACACAGAAGGGGCAGGTGGAAATTCACAGACAGGAAGAAGCATCATGGGGCAGGACTGAGATGCTACGAAATTTCTGGCTTCCTCTTTCCTTTTAAAGGAGCTACTTTTTTTTTTTTTTTTCCTTAAAGAAGAAAAAAAAAGCCCTAGTAGCTGTTATGGATGGAAAAGATGAGACATTTGCCAGGTAAAGGTTCCATCTAGCATCACCAGCATAAGGTGAGATGTGCAGAGGGGGCTGCCGTGTGGGCAGCTTCTCCTTACCGTTAAAGGGCAATGGGTACAGTCTGTCCTTTGCTCAGAGACCTTAGATTTTGCAGTTTAAAGACACATCACCAGATCAAGTTACACTAAGAATAGTTAAAAAGATGGGGGAGTGGAATAGCCAAGACTCAGATAAATGTTTTTGTATGTTTTTTGGAAAACTAATGGCAACAGTTTACTGTCTGCAAGCAGATGTAGGCATACACTTTGCCAGTGCCAACTAGCTCTTGAGAATCTAAGCATTGGACTTCTATAGAAGAAGTGGTGTTATGCAATAATTTAGTGATGTATGACAATATGTAATAAAATGCCTTGCTTAAAATATGTGTTAGAACTATGTATCCAAGTAATAAAGTTTAATTTAATTGAGTAGATTAAAATATCCAGGAAAAATCTACCTCTGCTCTCCCTGTACCTCTCCAGGGTCTGTTGCTGACTGCCCCCCAAACTGGGCACGTCAGAAACATAAGGACAACAGCACTCATTCTACCAGGCCATTATGAAAATTCATCAATGTTTGGTGTTAAATGCATGATACTAGTCCTACTGATTCAGTGACAGAGGCAAATTACAACCCAGTATTCTGGCTACCAGTCTTTTGATCTAGTGAAAAAGAGGAGCAAAGGCTGAAAGTCAAAGGGTTGGAAATATTTCAGCCATGGATTTAGGTGGAAAGCATGCTTGTAAAACTGTGGTCTCCCTGCTGCTTCTCCCAAAGGATTATCCGTTTCACATGTACAGGGGACAAGGCCGTGTCATAGCATAGCTCTTTGCAGATGCATGTTACAGCTACATCTGCTGCTGAATTCACCCTGAATGCTATTCTTTGAACAGAAAGGCTGTCTCAGCTTGACTGGCAGAAATCCAAGGTGCAAAATTCACTTTTGGTTAGACAGAGATGTGTCCAGAAGGGCGAAAGGAGAGCTGTCCTGATTTTGCATCTATTTTTCAGTATATCTGTTAAATGTGTATCTGAACATGCCCCTCTGTTAAGCATCTCAGGGGCTTAGGGGATCTGTGCAGTTCAGGTCTGCCTGGCCCTCACTCCCAGCATTCTACGCAGATGTATTTCTGAGCTCAGTCTGTTGCATGATTAAGACACAGGGTTTAATCTGGAAAGTGTGCAATTCATGAAGAAAACGAGAGTTTAATGGGTGGTGATTAGCCAGGCCAGAAGCTTAGATTACAAATAGGACATAGCTGTACACAGGGCATAATGCTTTGAATTTCCCAGGAGGAAAAGATACAGTAATGGGTGGTATATTGATAGCACATCACCAGACTGTAAATTGGCACACACTGCTGTATCTCTATCTAATTAGCTCCCATCTAGTAACAGTTGTGGGGATATAATGGCCATTGTACATGGAAGGTATCTGTATAAACCTACTTGCCCATATGGAAAACAGTTTGATTTTTTTTTACTCCTCTGATATAATTATTTTTTTTATAGCTTTTTTACGTTGCGTATCACAAACACTTAATTTGTGACAAAATGACTTTAAAGCAGCTTATTTAATTATGAGCAAGCATGCCCCATCTGAATAGCAGGTGTCCTAAAAAGCCATGGCTTGGTGGAGTAATTGCATGGTCCCACAGAACGAAGCTTGGCTGTATTCGTGTGGAGCACTAAGCGAGCACATGCTGGCTCCTGGTGAGCACCGCAGAGCTGTGGGCAGGGTCCCGAGGCCAGAAGAGCTGCTGTACTGGGTGGGTGAAGACAGGAGGAGCAGCACAGCGTGAGCTGCCCTCACAGCCGCCAGCCAGAGCACCCTCACAGCTTCCTCCGCCAGTGTGTGAAGGGTAACGTAGATGCAGCTCCCAAAGCCAATCTCCACACTGAATATTAACAGAAATATGGGCTGTTTACAAATGAAGATCCCTCACAGGAACAGCTTTTTCTCTCCCTGAAGAGATCGATTCCCTCTCCACCACCCAGCTCTGCTTTGCAGACTCAGAGCCTTTGCTGTGGTCCGCCCCTCCGTTTCGTACAGATCTTACACCACAGCGCATTAGAGCAGTGTGTTTGTTGTACGCAGTGGTGGCCCTAGGATGAGCAGCACAGATGACAGATGGCTTGGCCACACCTGGAGCTGTTTGCAGGTAATGTGTTTCTCCCAAGCCATTCCTGTCTAAGTGAATGCACTCTCCTTCAGGGACACGGGACGTTTACACTTTAAAGATCAAGGCATGGGAGTGGGGGTGGACTTACAGGGGATTTGTAGGACTAAGCTGCGTACAAGCTCTTCCCCTCCTGTACATCAGGTTGCTTCCCTCAGTTTTCTGAAGTGCTTTGCATTCACTGGAGGAAAAGCAGGAGCAGGGAGGTCCTGCAGGGCAGCTGACCCGGGGTAGATCTAGGCCTCTTGGGGCTGGGTTTGCTCCTCAAGATGTGAAGCATTTTCCTTAGAGAAGCCAGGACATCAGATTGATGACTCTGATTCCCCCTGGGCCCAGGCAGCCTGTTTTTCCTCCCAGGCCATGGCTGCTTTTGTGGTCCACTCCCAAGCACTTTGCCCAGCCAATTTTGGGAGAGAGGGGTTATGTAGAGTGCTCTCTGCCAACACAGAACAGATGGTGATTTTCCCCTTTCTGTGAGCTACAGTCAAACTAGGTGTTTTCTCCTCTTTCCTCTCACACTGTGGCTCAGTGAAGGATTCCAGACTGTGGCAAGAAAGGGGCAGCATTAGTTGGGAGGATAAAGGAATTGGGAGCTGATAGTAAACAATAGAACAAAAGAACAAATCTGTTGTGGCTGGAAAGCCCCTCTTTTCTTCTGCTCTTATCAAACCACAAATGGGAAAATCCCAGCCACATCTCACTTTTGTTTATTTCTACTACCTGCACATATATTTGACATGATGGCTCTTAGAAATGAGAGAGTGTGTGAATGAATCCTGAAACCCGCCTTCACCCTGTTGTACCAGCAAGGATACAGCAGGAACGTGGCTGTGAGAAGGGTACAGCAGGACATACCTGGAGCAGTGACTCTTTCAAGCCCATATAGATCAGAAAAAGCCTTCATCAATGCCTCTCCGTGTGGAAGAGGGGTTGTATTCCCGTTTTATCTTCACTGGCACAACTGCGGTCTCCCCAGGGGACAATAGGAACATTTACCAAAATAAGGAAAGCAGTTACACCAAAGTCAGGGTGGTTAGACTGGGGTTTTTTGTTTGTTTGTTTGTGGGGGGTTTTGTGTGTGTGTGTTTGTTTGTTGGTTGGTTGGTTTGGTTTTGTTGTTTTTTTTTTTTTTAAAGGAAAGCTCTGCATGATCTGTCCATGGACTCATAGAACAGAGCGGTGTGTGAGTTTGTGGGAATAGGTCACATTTCTACGTGTCTTCTGAAAGCAGGTCTAATTTCGTACCACTCTCCAGAGTGTGTTGTGGGTTGCATAGGCATGGTTCAGGGTTTGATCACAGAAAAGAGGGCAGCCTGACACCAGTCCCTACCTCCTACCTGTACCAGTTCAGAAGGAGATCCATCTACCCAGCTGGTCCTGAACTCCTGCAGTTTTAGTCAGGTGAGACCTGCTAACCCTGCCATTGGAAAGTGAAACCCACTGTCAGTTTTTCCCTGCTCTGTTCAGCTGATTGCAATGTGGGTTAGATTGCACCACCTTTCTATACACTGGGTTACCATTGCATAGGAAAAGGTTACAAATAAAAAATAATACTATAAATACAGACCAGGGTGTATTCTGTGCCATTCACATGATACCCTTTTGGTTGCATTTGCTCTGCAGGATGGTTTGTTTATACCTTCATGGGTGCTCCCCCCAAGACTAAGTTGGCAGCTCTAAAGGTTTTTACTCGTCATCAGGTGACTGGTTCCAATGGGTGGGATTTTAGCTGTGGAGGGTGGGTGCATACAGGCCTTTTTCCCAAAGGGTCTGTGCTGGTGTTCAGCTGTGTCTGAATTCAGATTGCTGTTGTATCTTGGCGGCACTTGGGCATCACTCATTCCTTGGGTTCCCCGGGGTAGCCAGAACAAAGGCGTCAGGGAATTGAAGTTGCCCATCATTTCTGACAGAGGGAATGCAGATCTAAATCTTTGCTTGCTTACAATAAACAACAAGATAATAGAGAATGTCAGTAATTGAGTCTGAATTCTATTCTTTTTAAGATTTCTGGTTGAAAGTACTCAAAAAGTGTTGAAAAGTGAGATGCAACTCACCTTTTATTTACTCCAGCAGGTTTCTCACTTACTTTGATTCTTTATGTTGTCCATTCACAAATCAGAAACTGAGATGGTGCTTTTCTGCCAAGTTTGTTTGCTCTCAGGGACAGATTATACTTCATACTGCATCCAGATGGGTGTGAATCTTGATTTTGCTTTTCAGGATTAATACAAATGTTTTCTTTTCAATTGTGGTTGATGTAGGCTTGTATTTCTTCTCCTTCTGCACCTTGTGTTTTGCTTTGAATTTCAGCATCAAAATGATCTCAGATCTCAAAATGAGAATCAGCGGAAACCAGAGATAACCTGGATTTCACACTGAATTCTTACATGTGATTTTCGGTCATAAGTCATCTCACTTTCACACGAAAGTTGATCTGCAGACTGCCAATGGCCTTGGAGCCAGTCTGGAATAAAACCAAGAAGACTTGGCCTGAGTGTAATTTTGGGTTTCATTGTGTATGTGTTCCACTGATACAAAAACTAGAAAGGCTCAGGAGTGGGAAGACCTTACAACTCCCCTGG